AACTAATGAGCATAATGATGAAATTTAATTGAAAAGTTTGGAACAATCGCAGTTTCATTTGTTAAACAGATATTGAGCATTTATGACAAACTGGATGCTCTGTGGGGCTGGATAACCAGATATTCTTACCAGTTCTTAAAATTCTTGTCAATTCTTAAAATTGGTAAGACTTTTAAATAAATTGGTTCTGCTATAAATTCACATTTAAGAATTTAGATAATTGGCAATAATTAGGATGCAAAAGCACTAAAAAAATACCAAAGTGTCTGTAGCCTGTCTATGCAGGATTTACCAGAAAGCTGAGAAACAGAAGTAGTTTTGTGGAATAACAATAGTAACTGTTTAATAAAGAAGTTCTGCATTTTAAGGAAGTTTCTGTTGTAATTTTAGTTGTAATTCTAATTGATGATAACAGACATAAAACAATTCTGTGATCACGTAAGTTATTAAATACTAAATTTTGTGCAACGAACTAAGTACTTGAGAATTGTGTTAAAGGAGCCAGCTCAGGAAACGGTAGTTGGGAAAATGCTTGCTGGAGGTGGCGGGACTTGAACTGATGGGTAATACTCCTGGGAACAGGGGCAGAGGAGACTATCCCAACCAAGGGGGCGACTTAATGAAGCCAGGAAGAGAGGACGTCTGCCTGCACCAGACTCAACACACCTGGTTGGAGGCAAGGATGGGTGGGACGGTAGAACAAGGTGGAGTGGTGGGACATGGCCCTCGACCCCTTAATTCCTTCCCAGGTTCCTCAGCTGTAAAACATGGATGGTATTAGTGCCGACTCTGAGGGGCGGACCGTGAGATTAAACGAGATGATAAGTGTGAACGTCCTGGTGCATAGAAAGTGTTCAACGGACAGAAGTTGCTGTTGCTGTTAGGGGAGATGGCTGGGGCCCAACCACGAAGGGCAGGACTGCTTGGGAGTTGTCCTGTTCTGATGTGATGGAAATTAGGAAGCCACTGAGACATTTGCCCCCAGGTAGGATGTGACAGGGATAAATTAATAGTGGTAGCTACCGTTTGAGTGCTGATGCGTGCTCTGTGCTTTATATCCATTACCTGCGGGCCTTTCCGTGACCCTGCAGTGGAGCTAGGGGACTTTGTTCTCTGCGGCTCTGGGAGAGGTGACAAGCACCTTGGCCAAGGCCACCTAGCTACCAAGAGGGAAGGCGAGGTTTGAACCCAGGCCTGCCTGGTTCCAAAGTCTGGGCTCTTTCTCCTCCTACCAGACTGCCTTGACCTGGGAAGCCATCTGTCAGGGGGCTGACGACCCCACGGGGAAGGAGTGGCTGGCTCAGGTCGTTGTTACTGCTACTGAAACGGGGGTGGGTTCAGGATTCCCAGTGGCACACCCCCACCCCACCTCCTAGGAAGATAGGAGGAGGAGGAAGAGGAAAGAAGACAGCGGCACAGCAATGGAAAAAGAGACAGGACTCGGTGATTGGCTGTAAAAGGAAAGAGGACGAGATGAGCTGGAGGTGACGGTGCTGTTAGAAATGAAGGCAGGCACTGGTGGACCCACCTTTCCCTGCACCTGGGGTCGGGCTCCAAAAAGCCCAGGCACCGCTGGGGGAGTCCCCAGGCTTCTCGGAAGAATAACTTCCTGTGGGTACACCCCTCGCAGTCACTACAGGGCTCACAGTAGGTCTTGCTGGGTGTAAGTGGCATGTTGCTTGGCTAACGTTCTGCTCTTGTAGTGCCATCAGGGCCATTGGGGGTTTGCGGGGGAAGGAGTGACCTTAGGTAAGAGATATTTTTGTGTTCCTTGGGCCTAGGTCTACTTTTATGCCTTCTAGGACAGTGTTTCTCCCACCAGTACTGAAAGACCAGTTCTTAAAATTTCCAGTCTATCTGGGCTGATACTTTTGTAAAATAAAAGAAGGATTACTAGAAAACCTGAAAAAGACATGGAGAATGCAAACTGGAATTTTTTGTTATTGGGTTCAACAGGTATAAAATCACTCTGTCACGTTGCCGTAAAAGTTTCTAAATGCGTATTCTCAATCTGTGTACTTAATGTGTGTGTGTGTGTGTGTGTGTGTGTACTTAATTTTGACTGCAGGCTAGCAGACTGTTCATGGTCTGGTACACCTTGAGAGCAATGATCTAGGGAGAAACTTTGTTAAGCAAATTAGTAACAGGACGTTTCTGGAATAGATACATGATTCAAGAGTAAAAATTGTCTTTCAGTTGGCATTTAAAATACTTTAGATGTGTGTTCCTGTGTGATCCAATGACATCTGTGACAAATGACATCTTTTCAGTAAAGTTCCATATTAGGGGGCAGGAATGTGAAAGAAATATACCAAGAACTGAGGCTAACATTGTTATTGTAAGGGATCCATAAGTTTAAAACTAGTAGCAATACTTGGAAAAATTGGTGCTTTAAACTTTCTCTGTTGTTCTGAGAATCATTGTATTTCTTTTGCTCATTTAAGTTATATTTGTTCTCTCTATTAATGTTTGGTTTGCCTTTGAATTGATTTTTATATTTTGGTGCATAATTTTATGTATATTCTTTCACAGGGTAGTTTCTTTTTTTAATATAAATTTATTATTATTTTTTTCGCTGCGTTGGGTCTTCGTTGCTGCGCGTGGTCTTTCTCTAGTTGCGGTGAGCGGGGGCTACTCTTGGTTGCAGTGCGCGGGCTTCTCATAGTGGTGGCTTCTCTTGTGGAGCAGAGGCTCTAGGCACATGGGCTTCAGTATTTGTGGCACACAGGCTCAGTAGTTGTGGCTCACGGGCTCTAGAGCGCAGGCTCAGTAGTTGTGGCGCATGGGCTTAGTTGCTCCACCGCATGTGGGATCTTCCTGGACCAGGGTTCGAACCCGTGTCCCCTGCATTGGCAGGTTGATTCTTAACCACTGCACCACCAGGGAAGTCCACGGGGTAGTTGCTTAAGCAAACTAAAAAGAAAAAGTCTCGAGTTAACATATGCCGATATAGAGATCATATAATAATTTAGTTGTTCATATTTCAAATTTGATTTTTGACTCTGTCTTATATTTTGAGCATTTTTACTTTCGCTGCTGTTTCCTTGCACTGAGATCATTTGCTGTGTTGTTCCCTTAGCCTAGACTTCTCTTTCCCTGCCCTTAGGGCCCAGCCCAGGAGCTGCTTCCCTCCAGGCAGACTGTCAGCAGTGAAGAGGCTCCTGTCTCTGGCATCCGACTTCTGCTGAGTACCCGCTTCCTTGCCCACTGTCCCTTTTCTCCTTGCTCCAAAGTCAGGACTTCCTTTTGTTTTGCATCATACTATATATTACACTTTTCAAGGCTGTTTCATGTATATGTTCTCTTATTTCATCCTCCAGACAGTACCATGAGGTTGGTAGAACGGATTCTCATCCCCATTTTAACTGAGGTGAGGCAGGGAGAGTGTCCACATGGCATGAATCTTCATTCCTTTGCCAGGGCTCCCAGGGTCACTTGTGCCACTCAGGTCCAGACTGCCAAATGCTCAGGTTTTGAGCCTGTCATTTTGAGGTCCTCTTTTTTTTTTTTTTTTTTTGCGGTACGGGGGCCTCTCACTGTTGTGGCCTCTCCCGTTGCGGAGCACAGGCTCCGGACGCGCAGGCTCAGTGGTCATGGCTCACGGGCCCAGCCGCTCCACGGCATGTGGTACCTTCCCTGACCGGGGCACGAACCCGTGTCCCCTGCATCGGCAGGCAGACTCTCAACCACTGTGCCACCAGGGAAGCCCTTGAGGTCCTCTTTTTTTACACTGTACTTGTTATCTGAAAAATCTAGAATTCTCAGTGCAGTGTCACAGGCCTCTTTGGAAGAATATAATCTTCAGAACCTAACCCTGGGGATGGTCCGTAGAGAGCCAGAGCTGTGAACCCAGGAACTGCACACAGGGCCAAAGTGGGTGTTTTAAAGGATGTGTTCAGTTGTCTCCACCTGTGATTTTCAAATGACAGTGGGAGGTGTTGGGTTTCCTTTATTTCAACAATAACAGCCAGCCCAGCATTTTGGATTGCACAGAAGGTTTCTCATGAAGAGAAGATCCTGCTTTAAAAGGGGTGAGGCACTTTGAAAACTCACATTTAGCCCAAGTCAGGAGTCAGAATTTGCAGTGTGGGGGGTGTTTCCTCCCCATCCCCTTTACGGTAAAACCGACCTGTGTTCCAGATCCAGCCCTTCCACTTACTAGGTAGGTATGGTGACCTCGGCTGAGTTATTTAACTTCCCTAAACTTGTTTTCTCATCTGTAAAATGGGGAAAATACTATCATTTTGAAGGATCATTGTAAGGATTAAAGATGATGCATGTACCAGACTTGGGGTGCGGGCTCGACAAGTGAGAGTTACTTGGAAGCTGGTGCAGAAGAGAGAATGTGACCCAGTACAGGAGTCACTGCCTGTGTACAACTGGCCATAGTAGTGGTTCTCAGCCTGGGTAGGTGTCAGAATCACCTGGAAGACTGTTTTAACTACAGCTTGCTGGGTCCACCCTGCCTGCCCCCTGTAGTTTGATTCATTTGGTGTGGTGTGGGCCTTGAGAATTTGCATCTCTTGAGTTTCCAGGTGATGCTGCTGCTGCTACCGCTGGTCTGGGGACCACGCTTTGAGAATGACTGGGCTGCAGGTGAACTCACCGATGAGCATTTAGGTGCTGTAGCTGTATTTGAAAGCCGAGCTTTTATGTGGTTAAAGTTAACTTTGTTAGAAAGTGCTCGGAATGCATTTCGCAAATACTGAATTTGGTATCTCAAGGATTTTTCCTCCTGAAGTCCAGGAGTCTTTGTTAAATATACTTGAAGAAGAATAAGTTACGAGAGTAACAGTTATAAACATATTATGGATAGTCAAACAATACCAGATTGGCTGAGGTATGTGAAAGTGCTTTTATAAAATGCTAAAAACCGCAAAAATATTTTAATACTTTTTATTTTTAAGATTGAACATCATAATGGAGTATAAAATAGTGTAACTTAGATTTCTCATCTCAACGTGCTGTTTACCGTGTGTATTTTTCTCTTTCTCCTCCAGGCTGCTGACTTGAGTAAACCAATAGATAAAAGGATATACAAAGGAACACAGCCTACTTGTCATGACTTCAACCACCTAACAGCCACAGCAGAAAGTGTCTCTCTCCTAGTGGGCTTTTCCGCAGGCCAAGTCCAGCTTATAGACCCAATCAAAAAAGAAACTAGCAAACTATTTAATGAGGAAGTAAGTAGCACCCTGTCTTAGCTGTTAAGAATCCCTTTAAGAATGTATACGTTCTTACCGAGGGTAGTGGGCCTTATTTTACACTGTGAGCGAAGCCCGTTTTCCATTCTCAGATGTCCTACCTCGTATTACCCAAGTTTAAATGTGGTGCGTTACCTTGTTGACTTTTACCTGTTCTTCCTTGGGCTAACTGTTCTGTGCATTTTTTATGGAGATGCTCAGGTGTCTATAGCAGGTGCTTTAAAAATTTTTTTATAATGGAGATAGGGATGAGACTTGTAGCTTGATATTTATAATTTAAATAAGAAAATAAAGAATTTATTCACATCACCAGAAAATGTCATGAAGATCAAAGAACTTGATAATATTTCCTTAGGTTGCTTCAGTTGTAGCTAAAATTTGGTGTGTATGTTTGACAGGCGTTTGACTGAGAATTTGTTCTCTTGCTCTTGTAAATGTTTGCTATTAAATCACCTTTGACATGGTTAGAAATCCTGGCACTTAAAATTGGATCCTATGACATAGCTTTTGCCAGTGTTGTAGCATGTGCTGGGGTTTCTAGTGTCTTCAGTTTCATTCTGGCAGGAGCCTGAGATATCTGAGCTGTCCATTCAGGAACATGTCAACCATTAAACATAGTAGATGTAAGTTGCCAAATAGATTATATTTTTATAAGCGATTGAAGTGGCTTTTCAGCCCCAAGTATTGCCATTACACATTTGACGTACTTCCTCCTCTGTGTCTGTATGACTTTCCTAGTAAATGGAAGAGATGAGGCAGTCTTGCTGAGTTAGAAGCCCTGGGTTGCAGTCTACTACTTGTGACCTCAACCCTGGTGTGACAAGGGCCAGGTCACATGGATTCCTCTCAGGAAGGGCAAGTGGTTTTGATTGTTGCATGGTTTTAAAGTCATTAACTTGGAACAGAAGTGCATTATAAATTCTGATTTTTAAGAAATAATTTTGCTTGGGGAAGAATACTCCACAAATTGCAGTTAAAATTCTGACTCTTTTTGCAGTCCCCGTGGTATATGCTGTCCATGCATATCCAGTCTCCAGCCACGGTGCTCCTGGTTGGCATTGCCAGTGGATTTGGTGAAATCCTTTGAACCGTGCCATCTCTTCTTCTAGTTTCATCTGGGTTGACTGGAAACAAAACTTGCCGTCTGGATTGACAGAAGTATTTAAACCCATTTTCTGTTCAAAAAAATCTTAAGCAGAAAATTATTCTATTTACCTAAACATTTTATTAACATCATTTGACGGAGTGACTTCTAAGTAGCTGGACGATCTTTTTGGGGGGTAGTGGTGGGGAGCGTGAGGGCACAAAACTAGACTGCTCTGCATTCTTAATAGAAATTGTGAATTTGGCGTCACTGTGGGGTTTTATTTGTGGTTAGGTAGGGGACGTGTTTTTGAGGGGGAAGGGATTGGAGCCATGTAAAGGGCTGTTGGTAAACAAGGCCGGGAGGCTGATCGCTGAGGACGGCACAGAATGCCACTGAGAACAAGGAGGGTTTGTGTGTCGTCGCTGGGGGAGGGCGCAGCAGAGGCCGCAGGGCCCTGAGAGCGCGCGGACGCATCAGCTAGACCCATTCCTTACTCGGGACAGCTGGGAGTCACGGGCCGGAAAGCAGCTCCTCACTCTTAATGAGTGAAGCATGAGTTACCTCCTACTCTTTTTACATTTTATTTGAAAAATGGCTGTTCAAAGTTCTAGGATTGTGTATGGTTTAATACCAACTTGGCATTTACAACTTGGGGCAGACATGATTGCCCTTCGCAGTAAGGACATTCTTTGGCTTGTATGGGTAACATTCTCATCAGATTTTGCTCAGGATGTCTAAGAGAAAGGGTCATCAGGGGTTTGTTTCTCAGAGAGTGCCAGGGATGGTGGTCGAAGCTGTCGTTAGGCTGTGCTTTGCATTGGTATGGGACGTGGAGGTTTCAAAGTGTTTTGTCTCTTTCCTCGGCTTGGGAGGGTGGGTTGCTGTCTCCATTGTGCACAGATGAGGAGATAGTCAAAGAGAAGGTACGTGAATCGTCCACATCAGGTAACAACTTGATGATGGAGCTGGATCCAGAAATTAATTCCACGAGCTCTTATTGGTCATAGATTGTAAGCCCCACCATGTGTGGTTGCCAGATGGGCTCTTGCCTCCTCAGGAGCTCACAGTTTAGTGAGATGGACCCAAAGGATACTGGAACGTGTGTTATCCCAGTGTTATGAACAGAGTACCAAGGGATAATGTATTAATTGCATTCCTCAGTGTGTATCAAATATCATAAAATAAAAACAAAAGTTAAGTTCAGTGGGGACAGTTCGAGAAAGCTTCCAGAAGGTGACATTTGACCTGGGTTTGAAAGATGCATAGGAGTTGGAGGAGGATGAGAAAGGCCTTCAAAGCTGGAGAAAACAGCTTAGCATGTGGAGGCCAAGGGTGGCCACACCACAGCATGTGGGTCTTGGAGTGGCAGAAGTTAAAGCCAGACAGATGAGCTGGAACCAGATTGTAAAAGCCCTTTGATTACATGCTGGGAGATTTGGATCTGACACTGGATGCTGTGGGGGACCTTTGGGCTTTCATTTAATCAAGGGAGTGACAGGATTAAATGTGTTTTTTTAGAATTCTTGTCAGCACTTGTGGAAGGTGGATTGGAATGAAGAAAGAGAGAATGAAGGTAGCAAGACCAGTGAGGAGGCTCTAGTAACTGTCCAGGTGAGAGCTGAGGACTTGAACTAGGGTTGTGGCCATTTTCTCATCCATTTGACAGACCTTGATAGCCTACCACGTGCCCGGCACTGGGTCTGCAGCGGCAGGTAACAGCTGCCCTGTGTCTCCCCTCCAGAGAGAGGGGAGAGAAGTGTGAACAGCACCACACACACACACACACAATTACGGCAGATGGCGGTGACCTGTTGTGATGTCAGAGGAGATAGAGGGCCTGAAGGAGAGGCAGACATGGAGGCCTGCTTTACGGGGACGTGGGGAGCGTCCGTCTCTCGGAGGAAGTGAAGTGCTTTGAGCCTCGCCTCGCCTGAGGAGGCCCCCAGGTAAGGAGCTGGAGGTAGAGAGTCCCTGCAGAGGGAGAGCCGGTGAAGGCCCCTGGAGGGAAGACCTTGGGGCCAAGAGACCTGAGAGAGGACGGTGGACCTGGGAGGGCGTTGTGAAGTGAGAGGGCATGAGTTTGGAGGCCCTGCCACTCAGGGCCTGAGCCGGGTTTGCTTCTTCGAGCTGTGGGATCTCACAGACGGGAGCAAGAGGTGGTCAGATCGATGTTTTTGAAAATAACCCTGGCTGCTTCTTGGAGACGGAATTGGAGAGACGAGGGAACAAATCTTGAGATTCTGGCTCACTTACTACACTGGGTAAGGTGGGGAAGGAGCAGGTGCTGGGAACAGAGGTAAAGATCAGAGCTCCGTTCTGTACTTGTTAAGCTTGAGAGGCCAGTAGGTGGTTGGATACATGGATATGGAGCACAAAACTAGAGGTGAATTTTGGGAGCTGTCCGCATATAAATAGTAATCATGTCCCTGAGATTAGATGGCAGGTCTGTGGAGAAGGCACAGTAGAGCAAAGGCGAGTCTTTGCTAACTCCTAGACGAGTCTGGGGCTGAGCCCTGTTTATACTCCAAGATTCTGGTCATCTGCTCATGGCCCGCAAAGGAGCACTTACAACCATCAGTGTATTACCATGAAATTTACAGACTCCCAGCCCAGTGGCTAAGAACATAGACCCTTGAACCCGAATGCCTAGAGCTCAGACACCCTTCTGCCACTTACTGCCTGCAGGATGTGGTCTTTACTTCATCTCTTCTCCTCAGCCAGAAAGTGGATAAGGGCGGTCCCCGCCTGGAGGTGTGGTGAGGATGAGATGTTAGCAGAGGGCCTGGAGAGCAAGCCCTGGGGAGAAAAGTTCCAGGTGGAGGGGAAACTCAGAGGGTTTCTTTCACTAGGGGTTGGAGGAAAGGCTTCTTGGGAGGTGAGATACCAGCAGTTTTGAAGGAGAAGCACAAATGATTTTCCAGGACAAGAAGGTAAGAGCAGGGCAACCCAGACAGAGAAGCAACATGAGTAAGGCAGACGATGGGGACTGTTTATCATGACTGTTTGGTGTCTGTCTGTCTTACTCACCAGAGAGCTCCTCAGCCTCCCATTACACACATGCACGTGTGCGTGCACACACTCCACTATTGATTACTCTGACCTTTGCTCCTTTTTGGAGGTGTCTGGTGCATGAAAGTATAATAAATGTTTGGATGGATGGATAGGTGGGTAAGTGAATGGAAAAGAAATTATAAGTTCCAGAAATCCACACTAGACCGAAGATAGGTGAAAATTTCTATCTGGGAATAGAGTGTATCTTAAAAGGTGATTTTTTCCCCCCCCATTGATTAAAAAACTTAAAATACTTGTTTATAGAAAAAATTGGGACATAGAGAAATGGGACAAAGAAGATGGGAAAACATCACCTAGAAATCCCATTGCTCACTGTTAACTTTATTGTCTTTGTAATTTTTTATGTTTTTAATGAGGCAGAACTGTCAGATTCACACCTTCCATTAGAGCTGCTGGCAACCTTCACCTCCTGGTCTGGCCCTCAGTCCATCCAGTTCATGTCAGATAGCAGAGGCGAGCCCTGCTCCCCGGGCCGTCCCAGTCATACTGAGACCCTGGCCGCTGCACCAGTTCAGCCCCGGAAGAAGGCTGGTCCTTGCTAGCGTCCCTTGGGGAATGATAGCCTAGATCCCCTGAGACACTGCTTTCTCTCAAGCCTTAGAGTAGACTTGAGGTCTCTGTGTGTAGTGTTCTGTATGTTTTATGCCCTTGATGGTATCTAATGGCACATCTGATGAGCTCCCAGACCGTGGAGCCTACCTTCATGGTAAGGGTTACCAGGGAGGGAGAGGTGCCCTGGTCAGCGCCCGGAAGGGGTGAGGAGTGCACTTTTCATCACTAACGGTTACGATGTACTGGGGAGAAAGTCATAAAGGGGTAG